CGGAAAGAGAGGCCCTGAGAAAACAAACATGGATTCTGCTTGGGAGACAATGCTTCCCACCACCGAAACGGACATAGGTCGGGCTTTGCTGCAAAATACTTTTAGCAAAGGGAGTTTTGTTGTCATTTTACGGATTGTTTTTCCACCTTGGTTTTTATAACGTCATCTCCACAACCGGAGGGAAAGTATTCTTTGCCGATATTCCAAATGTCATGGTTCTCAGGTTGAACTTACTTACTTAGGCAATCCCTTGTAGCATGAAGATGATGGTCCTCCAAGTGTAGTGTTTTGTGGTGGGTCCATAGGTAGCTGGAGACCTATTCTCGATCTGCATGTTCTCCTGCAGTGGGCATATCGGTTTCCAGATGGAAGGGATTTTCCCATCTGGGTTAAAACAGGCTGTGGTCAGACCTGTTGCAATCCAGAGCAGGAAACGAGGCCCTAAGATAACCATCTACCACACTTGACTGTGAAAAAACAATCATTTTTTTATTGAAGAAAAATGGTTACAAAATAAAGAAAAATGCAAAGTCAAAAGCCACAGAAAAATCAGCAAACATGAATGTCTATGAACAAGATCGAAACCCAAAGCCACACTGTAAAATACTGGAACCTGTTAGCAATCCACTAACCGTACTTGGTGTCCTAGAAATCTTTCAAGACGATGGCCAGGGAAACCGGGAGAACTGCCAAGGTCTTCATCAATCTAAAACGATGCCTGAACTGAGAAAGTCAGCCCGGCGGAAGGCACTTAAAGCCGAGGAATTGGTTTCGTGATACGCCTCCCTGCCATAGGTTTTTTAAACGTTGTTGTGTTATTGTTGATGTTTACGGCTTATTTTCTGTTTATGAGTTTTAGTTTATTGTTTTGTATTACTGTTGTTGTTGTTTTTGCTGATGTATTGTGGGCTCGACCTCATGTAAGCCACACCGAGTCCCTTGGGGAGATGGTAGTGGGGTACAAATAAAGTATTATTATTATTATTATTATTATTATTATTATTATAAGGCGGTCCCGGTCGGGGTTGGCTTGATGCACTTTCCTCTTGGCACATTTCTCCCTTTCACTCTCCATTCATGTCTTTTAGAATTCCACAGCACCGCCGGTCACAGCTGACCTCCAGCTAGAGCGCTCAAGAGCCAGGGCCTCCCAGTTCTTGGTGTCTACACCACAGTTTTAAAAGTTGGCTTTATTGATTTATTTACGGCATTTGTACTACACCTTTCTCAGCCTTACGGTGACTCAAGATGGCTTTAAGCCCACCTGTCAATCTCTTTTCCTGTGCTCCAACATTCCGTTTCCCATTCTTGAGTTCAGAGTATAATAACTGCTTTGGGAGATGGCGATCAGGCATTCTGACATCATGGTCTTCAGTCCATCTGAGTTGATGGTGGTGGACCATCGCTTCAGTGCTGGTGGTCTTTGCTTCTTCCAGCACGCTGACATTTGTCCGCTTGTCTTCCCAAGAGATTTGCAGCATTTTGCAGCTGGTGGAATCGTTCAAGGAGTTGAGTGTGACGTCTGTAGACAGTCCACATTTCACAGGTGTATAGGAGGTTTGGGAGGACAGTAGCTTTATAAACAAGCACCTTGGTCTCCCTAAGGATGTCCCGATACTCAAACACTCTCTGCTTCGACAATACACTCTCTGCTTCATTTGGAAAAATGCATGAATGCAAGGTGGCCTAAGCATGGCCCGTTGCTAATTCTTTGAGGCAAAACGTTCACCCTCGTCACATTCCAAATAGTCCAAAGACTCCAAACACCTTGCAAACGTTCCCCCAGATCAGTCAAATCTCAGCCAAAAACGAAACCAGAAATTGGTGTGACATCCCTTCCATTCTTGTAGAATGAATGCACCAGTTTGAGCCAAAAAGCTCATCTGGGAATAAAAAGGCTCCCACCCATTCCATTTAACAGACATGGAAAGGAGGGGAGGAAGCTTCTTCTTCAATAGGCCCTGTCTACTCATCAATGGTATGAAGACCAAAGAATGAAGTGGAAGACGACTCAAGGGATGGTGGGATGCCTACAGACTTCCATCCCAAAGGGGACGTCCTTCTCTAGCGCAGAGACTGAAGGATCCCTGAAGGACCACTGCAGCCCCGTTGCGTGAAAAGAGCACCGTCAACAGCAAAGGCAGGTCGGATTCCCAGCACCTGGAAGGGTGCCCAAGGACTCTCCTTTCAGAAATTCAAAAATCTGACCAGCCACTTTCATGTGAGGAAAGGAGAAACCAAGGAGGACACCTTGGAAGCAACATGGCACCCGTTTCAGTAACTCTTCAAGAACTCAGTGGTGAAGATGGACCTCCAGCTTCATCAGTGGCATGCTCGGTATGTGTATTTATGTGCCTTCAAGTCAACTGTCAATGTATAGCAGTTATTAATATATTATAGAATTAGAGTAGCCATTAATACACATCAGGACAGATGGATAGGCAGATGTGTAGAGACAAACATAGACAGACAGAAAAGGGGAGAAAGGAAGGAAGGAAGGAAGGAAGGAAGGAAGGAAGGAAGGAAGGAAGGAAGGAAGGAAGGAAGGAAGGAAGGAAGGAAGGAAGGAAGACTTTAGATCAGCATATCTCAACCTGGGGGTCAGAACCCCTGGGATGGTCACAAGGGGGTGTCAGAGGGGTTGCCAAAGACCATCAGAAAACACAGTACGTTCTGTTGGTCATGGGGGTCCTGTGTGGGGAGTTTGGCACAATTCTATCATTGGTGGGGTTCAGAATGCTCTTTGATTGTAGGTGAACTATAAACTCCAGCAACTGAAATTCCCAAATGTCAAGGTCTATTTCCCCCAAACTCACATTTGGACATATTGAGTATTTGTGCCAAGTGTGGTCCAGATCCATCATTGTTTGAGTCCACAGTGCTCTCTGCATGAAGATGAACTACAGCTCCAAAACTCAAGGTCAATGCCCACCAAACCCTTCCAGTATTTTCTGTTGGTCATGGGAGTTCTGTGTGCCAAGTTTGGTTCAATTCCATCGTTGGTGAAGTTCAGAATGCCCTTTGATTGTAGGTTAACAATAATTCCAACAACTACAAATGACAAAATCAACCCCCCCCCCCCAACCACACCAGTATTCAAATGTAGGAGTATTGGGTATTTGTGCCAAATTTGGTCCAGTGAATGAAAATACATCCTGCAGATCAGATATTTACATCACCAATGAAAATAATATTATGGTTGGGGGTCACCACAACATGAGGAACTATATTAAAAGATAAGACATTAGGAAGGTTGGGAGCCACTGCTGTAGATAGACAGATCCTTCCTCCCTTTATTTATATCCCACCTTTTTCTCAGACTCAGACTCAAGGCACCACGATGTGCAACAAGCACATAGAAAATAATACAAAACCGAGATTCAGTGGGAAGCAAGAAGAGAATTAAAACAATTCAAAATCCTACTTTAAAACTAACAGTACAGCCCATAAGGCACCCGTCCCTTTTGAAAAATCAATTGGCAAAGGTTTGCTGAGAAGGAACCCCTGAATCTGCTGCCAAAAAGGACAACGGAGACAATATACAGTTTGAATATCTCTTATCTGGAATTCCAAAAATAAAAATACTCCAAAATCCCAAGCTGCCCACATCAGTGGTTGCAGGAATGATGCCTTTTCAATGGTTCAATGTACGCAAATGTTGTTTCAAGCATGGAATTATGTATTTAAAAGATTGTGTGTGAAAATTACCTCCAGGGTGTGTGGATAAGGTATAGATGAAAAATCAATGCATTTCATGACTAGCCTTGAATCCCATCTCTAAGATATCTCGTTACGTATATGAAATATTCCAAAATCCAATAAACAAACAAATGAATTGTCATATGTTCTGCAGTTGATGATGCTTGGTGATGGAAGGGTTAATGTAAGTATTAGTTGTAAAGGGTTTTGTAATGTGTAAGTAAGAGTTCATGGGTGAAAGCAATTAAGGGTGGAGGTATACAAGAGATAGGTTGCAGCTGGGTGTTTGTGGATATAAGGAGCGAGCCTTGGAAGTGATCTTTGGGAGAAAAGTATCTGTTGTATTTTGGTGGTGGATGCTGCTGGTTTCCCCCCCAGGTCTGTTGGATTTTTTTGGTATCCTGACCTGGCTTCTGTACCTTTGGAATCCTGGAACCTTGAACCCTTGGACTGGCTTTTGACTACGGTGTAAACTCTTGATCCCTGGACTTTGTTTATTGAACTCTTGGCATTTGACCACTGGACTGGACCCTTTTGACTACGAAGTTATTTTTGCTATCAGTGTTTGTTTATTCTGTAGCTGCGTGCTATCTTTGTGTTTTATATTTTGGACTATAACAACAGCCAGCAAGTAAGTGCTGTTTTAGTTAAACTGTTTGTTAAAACTGGGAGTTGGATTCATCTCTACCTAAACAAGGTAGAACCCTAGCAACGTGACCCAAATCTCTAAATACAGAACACTTTTAGTCCCGAACATTTCAGATGAAGCGTATTCACCCTTTATGATTTATCAGTGATTATGTGAAGACACATGATGGTATTTAGCACGTGGTGATAATCATGTTGTTAATTTGGTGGTAAATACAAATACAACGAATCCATACTTCAGTAAGTAAAGCCCAACTGCTCACTGGAGGGAAGGATAGTAGAGGCAAAGATGAAGTCCTTTGGCCACATAATGAGAAGACAGAAACGCTTAGAAAAGACAATTATGCTGGGGGAAATAGAAGGAAAGAGGAAGAGGGGCCAACCAAGGGCAAGATGGATGGATGGCATCCTTGAAGTGACTGGATTGACCTTGAAGGAGCTGGGGGTGGTGATGGCCGACAGGAAGCTCTGGCGTGGACTGGTCCATGATGTCACAAAGAGTCAGAAATGACTGAACGAATGAACAACAACAAATACAAATGCGGATATTTTAAAAAGAACCAACCAAGGTGATGAGCGCAAACTCAAGCTGCGTGAGGGGGTCCCATGGTGGGGACTGGTGCAAGACGTGGGCCTTCCCGGGGTTTCCTTACCTTCTCTCCCAGGGGACAGTAGCCCTTCAGGAAGTCAGGGCAGACCTCAGCTTTCCTGGAGACATAGACGTGGCTGTATGGACAGTCGCTGTTATTGCAGATGCCTTTCAGGAAGTAAGAGCACACTGGCATCTGAAAGAAGAAGCAAAGACGTGAGAAGAGAGCATATAGAAGTTGAACATCCCAAATACTCTAAACTCTGAAACTGCCCACCTGGCTGGCTAAGATAGAGACACTTTTGCGTTCTGGTGATTCCATGTATACAGGATGTTTTTCAGGCACAGAATGGTTGCATATAAATTTAACTTCAGGCTATGTGTAGAAGGTGTTTGTGAAACATAAATTTCATGTTGAAAACTTGGGTCCCATCTCCAAGTCAGTGTATTGTAATGTATTTATTTATTTATTTATTTATTTAAGATATTTGTACCCTGCCCTTCTCAACCCCCCCCCCCCGGGGGGGGGGGGGGGGTCAAGGCGATTTGATGCCTCCATGTACACATAACAAAATACATAATAAAAACCATACAGTTAAAACAAACATTAAGACAATCCAATTAAAAATATAATATAACAGCCTTGTGGCCTTATCTAGCCAAGTTCTGTAGTTGGAGATTCCATCAAACTTGTCCATAGTCCATTGCCATAGCAATTGTCATCACTGTCATTGTCATTGTCAGCATAATTACCCAAAGACCTGGTCCCACATCCATGTTTTCAACTTCTTTCTGAAGGACTGGAGGGAAGACAATAAACTAATTTCCCTAGGGAGTGAGTTCCACAGGCAGCCGGGGGGGGGGGGGGGGGGGGGGTCTTTTGGAAACCAAGAAAATGGGGTTTATATATCTGTGGAAAGTCCAGGGTGGGAGAAAGAACACTTTTTTGTTGGAGCTAAGTGTGAGTGCCTAATGGAACCGCTTGATGAGAGGTGATTAGCTGTTCCTGACTGTTTCTTGTCTGGAGTTACCCTGTGTTTGAGATTTGTACTTTATTTACTGTTGTAATTTTAGAGTTTTTTTTCATACTGGTAAGCCATATTTTGTACATTTTCATGGTTTCTTCCTTTCTGTTGAAATTGTCCACATCCTTGTGGATTTCACCTTCCAAAAAAGAATTCCCCCAGACAGTAACAAGCCACATCTAAAAACTGTCAGGCCATCAAATGCTAATCAAGGTGGCCAGTTGAAACATTCACACCTAGCTTCAACAGACAGGAGTTCTTTCTCCCACCCTAGACTTTCCACAGATATAAAAACCCAATTTTCCTAGTTTCCAAAAGACCTCACAACCTCCGAGGATGCCTGCCATAGATGCAGGTGAAACGTCAGGAGAGAATGCTTCTGGAGCATGACCAGACAGCCCGAAAAACCTACAACAACCCAGTGATTCCGGCCATGAAAGCCTTCGACAATACAATGATAATCTTGGTTTAATGACCTTAGCTTCTATTGAGAGTTAAGACCTGATTTGCTCTCAGATCCATTCATTTATGTTCATTCGTTCAGTCGTTTCCGACTCTTCGTGACTTCATGGACCAGTTCACGTCAGAGCTCCCTGTCAGCTGTCACCACCCCCAGCTCCTTCAAGGTCAATCTAGTCACTTCAAGGATCCCATCCATCCATCTTGCCCTTGGTCGGCCCCTCTTCCTTTTTTCTTCCTTTTTCCCCAGCATCATTGTCTTCTCTGAGCTTTCCTTTCTTCTCATGATGTGGCCAAAGGACTTCATCTTTGCCTTTAATGTCCTTCCCTCCAATGAGCAGTCAGGGTTTATTTCCTGAAGGATGGACTGGTTGGATCTTCTCGCTGTCCAAGGCACTCTCAGCACTTTTCTCCAGCACCACAGTTCAGAAGCATCTATCTCCCTTCGCTCAGCCTTTCCTATGGTCCAGCTCTCACATCCATAGGTGACTCTGGGGAATACCATTGCTTTCACTATGCAGATCTTCGTTGCCAGTGTGATGTCTCTACTCTCTTCACTCTTTTATTGAGATTGGTCCTTGCTCTCCTCCCAAGAAGTAAGCATCTCCTGGTTTCCTGGCCCCAGTCTGCGTCTGCAGTCATCTTCACATCTAGAAATACAGTCTGTCACTGACTCCACGTTTTCTCCCTCTATTTCCCAGTTGTCAATCATTCTTGTTGCCATCATCTTGGGTTTTTTTATGTTTAGCTGCAACTCAGCTTTTGCGCTTTCTTCTTTCACCTTGATTAGGATGCTCCTCAGTTCCTCCTTGCTTTCGGCCATCAAAGTGGTGTCATCTGCATATCTGAGGTTGTTAATGTTTCTTCCAGCAAGTTTCACCCCAGCCTTGCATTCCTCAAGCCCCGCACATTGCAGGATGTGTTCTGCATACAAGTTGAATAGGTTGGGTGAGAGTAGACAACCCTGCCATACGCCTTTCCCAACCTTGAACCAGTCTGTTGTTCCGTGGTCAGTTCTGACTGTTGCTACTTGGTCCTTGTACAGATTCCTCAGGAGAGAGACAAGGTGGCTTGGTATGCCCAGACCACCAAAAACTTGCCATAATTTATTATGATCCACACTGTCAAAGGCTTTGGAATAGGCTTTACTATAACCTGTTTTACACCATCACTTGGTTCAGCCCCTTGTAACGCCTCCCTTGCAACGTCGCCAGGCCCCTGCAAAATCACAAGGGTCGTGGTGGTCTTTCCTGGGTCTCAAACCCTTTCAAAGCCTGTACTCTCAGGACCTGGGACAGCCCTGTCCTGACATCCTAGGTCTCTGCTGGGCCCAGGAAGGTGAAGAAGCCCATCAAAGCCCATTGCAGGGAGAGAGAGGCAGATGTAGGATCACTCAGCGGCCAGGCTCCAAACCATCAGGAGCTTCCCTTCAGCCATTTGCTATAATTAAAAAGGAATTAGCAGCCGGCTATAATGGCTCCATTTCTCTCTACCTTAATAGCTACTGATAGTAGGATTGGAAAGGGGGAGGTTGCAACCCAAAGGCTCGGCACAAGCTCTGCATGTATAAAAGCCCCCTTGATCTCTCCTTGGTTGAGGCACCAAGGCCAGGGAGCCTTTTGGCTGCCAACGATGCGCCCTTCTGTGCTCGATTTGGTCTTCTCGCCCCATCCCGTCCTTTCCCTTAATCTCCCAAGTGACTTTCTGGCTGAATACGGAGTAGCTGCACCCAGAGGAGAACTTCAAAACCATCTCAGCTTCACGGATAAAGCCCAAGTCCCACATCTACCAGATGGTTGTTCTTGATGCTTGCTTGCCTTCTCACAGTCCTTGCTCCATGCCGCTGCCTTTTCTCTTCTCCTGCTGCGCATCTTGACACGAAAAAGGGGAGAAAGCTCACCGAAAATGCTGGCTTATTGTCCGGCACAAGAGCCATCCTTCAGCCAAGTGCCATCTCCTTAAATCCTGCAGGTCCAGGTATCCTCCAACCAATATTGACAAATGCACCATAAGCACCGGCGGTGCTGCGCAAGGGGAAGGCAACTTTCCCCCAAAGGACCGATTAGGACTTTAACTGAATTAGTTCACCAGAGTGAGAAGCAAATTGGGAAGAGAGAGAGAGAGAAAGAGAGGAAGAAGGAGGGGGAGAGGGGGCAAGATGGAAGGCTAAAAGCCGCGCAGAAGAAAGAAAACAGTCGAGCTTTAAAAGCAAAGAGTTTATTTTTAATTGTCTTTTAACTGCAGACATTAAAATAAAGGACAGGGCTCTGGGGCTGCCTTTTCTGTCGGCGGTGGCGTGACCGTAAACGATTCCCTTAATGTAGGTTTTGATATAGAGATCAAATTAGCTCTAATAAAAAGGGATAATAAAGCCCGCTCTTATGCAAAAGCCCGACCCCTCCCAGCTGTCAAGGCTGCGCCATTACCGAGAGGAAGCGCCGCTCTTGTTTCAATTAACCTTGTTTGCACCCCGCTATGTCCACGCAAATAACAATAACATTAATGCACGGCGCCAGTGCGCGGCTGCGGCCATATTAAGGCGGCTTCGGAAGGCGCGCACATGCCTTTCCCGAGCCGGCAGCTAATGAACCCGAAACTCAACGTGAATTTCCAAATTGCTCACAACAGAGTTTTGAAGCTCTATTAGGGAGAAAAATGCTGATTCTTGTCAAGTCCCTCAAGGGGAAAAGCTGTCGGAACAGCAGACTGGCTCAGCCCCGGCCCTAGCCTCTCGCTAACCTCCCATCCTGGCCTGCCTTCCATGCAAAAGATCCCAATCCACCGGAAAAGGACCCTGAGTGGGGCGCGAGGGTCTCTTGAGTGGGGTGACCCTACTGCAGAGACCCTCATCCACAACTGAAGACCCTCGTTTCCCTTTCTCCAGAGTAAAAAAGAGGCCATTCCACTCTCTAAGCTACCGTAGTTCCAGATGCTTAGGAAACTCATTAAAAAAAGAATACAACTTCTGACAAACTTTCCAGAATTGCAAGGAAGCTGCGATGTTGTCTCCCACTTCACTTTTTTTTTTGCTTCCTCTCCCCATAACCTTGTTAATGAGTTGGTTAATGTTGATCTGAAATGCTGAAGAGTTTTATTCTATGATACAAGGGTCCCAGGGGGTGGTGGTGGTGGGGAAATAAAGAGGGCCGTAGCGGTTGGCTTCAGATCAGAACTCCAGCCCAATTCCCCTGCTATTCCCGGGTGTGTTGACGCGGCCACTTTTCCCAATATATGGCAAGCCTTCATGCTCTCAAGCCAGATCCGTGCCTCTGCGCAATACAGGGAGGAATTGAAGGTCCAGCCAGGAAAGTCAGCTCCTTCTGGAAAGCTCCTGACTTCTGCCTTTTCACAAAAAAAATATCTGTACAAATGATCAGGTGAAATATCTCTATCGTTATTACTGCTGGAGGTCACAATGAGACAGCAGGGCCATGACCTCCAAATTGCCACTGGACATGCAGTGGCTCAGCAGCGGAGAACAAAGGAACGAAGCCCCTTGATTTTAATGATTGCAGAACTGGCACCAGTGGGAGAGGTGATGTGGTCCATCCAGAAGTGCATCTTTCTGCCACAGTGCGCAGGGTTAGTCACAGAATTGGAGCTGGAAAAGGCTCTTAAGGGCCACACAGTCCAACCTCATTCTGCCATCCAGGAAATATCATTCAAGCACTCCTGAGAGTTGGCTACCTCCAAAGATGGAGACTCCACCAAC